TATTTATTTACTAAAATGTTATTTTTAACAACCCATCAAATATATAATAAATATAATATAAAATAGTAATTTAATAATCCGGTAAATTTCTTTCGGAACTACCGAGATCGATAAAGTATTGTTCAAACGGAAAAGATGAGTTTTTCTTTATATTCTTTTAATGCATGATTTTTTTGTCGGCATTATTTTGTGATTGAGTTATGGAAATCTAAAGGGGCTGGCTAGGAATCGCAAGAATTGTGCCCTCCCGGCAAGGCGTTCCTCGGCGTTCCTCGGCGCCAAGAAACTAAAAAACAATTAATTTTCATATGATGAAAACTACACCAATTGATGTTAGAAGAGAAGTTTCACCCGTAGATATTGAAATTACATAAGATGAAGATATCTGATTTCAAAATTTTCTTATTCGATTAGGAAAAATCAAAGATAAAGAATCTTATTCTTCATGACAAAATGCATTAGTTGATTATTTGTGAAAAAAATTATTTTGATACTCATTAATAAAACAAAATATGGTATCTTATATATATATATATATATTTATGATTTATTAAAAAAATTAATCATAAATTTTTAATTTAACTAAAATATATTTTATGGAAATTTTGTAAACATAAAATAGTTGGGTTAATTGTTAATATTTTATAAATTAAAGTTACTGATAACAATTATTAAATAAAAAGGAATCATTTTAGAATATTTCATTTTAGAATAGAAAATATAATAATATATTGGAGTAAAATTCAATTTTATTTTGGAGTTATATTATTTTAGAGTAAAAATAGAGTAATACATTGGAATTAGTCTGAGTATGAAAAACTGTTGTGTTTATATATTTTATTTAGCTATGGTGGAATGCATGTGCCCAAAGTTTACTTTTTTTTTTGTTTTTTGTTTTTTATTGAATTTATAGTTAGTTTACAATGAGTTTAGGTTGACTAGAATGGATGTGTCGAAAGTCATACCAACCCTTTTATCATACACGTTTCCAATCATTAATCTATGCCTAAAATGCAATTTAATTACTCTACTACATCTCTTTAAACTATATTTATCTCAGTAGACTGTTTTTCTTTTTTAATTCATGCCGTTATCAGTTCAGACTTGCGACTAGAACTGAAAACTTCAATGGATGGTTCAATTAAAATCCATGTTGATATTAATTGATTAACTACTCTCACCATTTAAGCTTATTTTCATATTTCCGTTCTCTTGAAATATTCTTGAATAATAAGAATCAAAATTAGTGAACTACAGGCTCTAAAATTAGTGAACTACAGGCTTTATTTCATAATATTTTTTAAAAAAGTATAGTTGCAATTTTATTTAGTAATTAAATATATGTAATTATGTGTGTTTGACATTAAATTTTAATGATTTGATTTATATATAATGATTTCTAAATGATATTATTACACATAATAATTTTTCATACAATTTAAAATGTGTTTGTAAATTTGACTCAGTATAAATGTAAAGGTCAACTTTAGTTTTTAAAACTCAGTTCTATTTATTTAAAATTGTGATTAATGGTCCAAATGGTAAATGAAAACATAAAAAAAAAAAAAGACTAAAAGTTTGAGCTTCGAAACATCAGGAAAAAAAGTATTTTGTTTCTCTACCATCCAAAGGTTATTGTCTCAAAAAAGAGTAATGAAATAAAACAAAAAAAATATATATTCATACATTTTTGTTGCAATATTCGTATCCCTTTAAAATACGAGTGTTACTGACTATATTTTTGTGAACTGTTCGTATTATCATTATTAGTATTATCATTATTAAACATATTTTATCATTTAATTTATGTTTTGACTTATTAATTAATACTTTGCAGTAATCTATATAATAACTTTAAATCTTTAATAAATTAATGTCTAATAATAACAAGTTATGACTCTTTCTTGGTAACAAAATACTAACTACTCAATGAAAATCATTCTTCTAATTATATAATTTGCTTGTTATTTCTTTTACTTGATTGAAAATAAAAGAGAGAAACAAAAACATAATTGAGATCACGTTAGTTTTTAAGAAAATGAGAAAGAGAAGAGTCTTCAAAGCCTTAAAAAGTGGCTGTAGAAAANCAAGTTATGACTCTTTCTTGGTAACAAAATACTAACTACTCAATGAAAATCATTCTTCTAATTATATAATTTGCTTGTTATTTCTTTTACTTGATTGAAAATAAAAGAGAGAAACAAAAACATAATTGAGATCACGTTAGTTTTTAAGAAAATGAGAAAGAGAAGAGTCTTCAAAGCCTTAAAAAGTGGCTGTAGAAAAAGGTAAGTAAAAAACAGTTTTTTTTTTAAATAGACTTTTAAGGCTTTAGAGATTTCTAAAGCCTAAAAAAACTGATTGGTAAATTTTTGGCTTTCATGGCTTTACATAACCACAAAGCCTCGACAGCCCCATTACCAATCTGACCCATAATTACAAACAGACTCATTAAAACATTAGGCCCATAATGAAGCTTGTATTGAAGAATTTACAAATTTTTATTCGGTTCACTATATATTAACTTAAACAGTTTTCTTTTTTGTTGCAGTTATATTACATGTCTACTTTATGCAGTTATAATTATATGCCGAGTATTTTTTTTTAATTGGACCCAATTATTATCAATAGGACATGTTTCTGAATTAATAGTACTCCTTCTATTCCTAAAAGATTCATATTCTAATTTTTGCACATTTTTTAATAAAACATAATAAATTTGCATAGTTTTTTGGTATTTATCTTCTTTCTATAATTTTAAACCAATCAAAAATCAATTAGTGCAACTAATTTTTTTGAAATTTACAATTATTTAATAAAACATACATTGAAAATGTAAAAAAAAAAGATCTTTTAGAAACAAATTTTTTTTCTAGAATATCTACTCTATTAAAATAGAGTCATTCTTTTTATCTACTAATACAAGTTGTCATTTAAATTTGGACTCTTTCTAGAATGTTACAAATAATATAAGTCATATAATTGACTGAACCGTATTACTTAAATAAAATCAACACAATTAATGTAAAGAGACGACCTTAATGTAAATTACCTTCAAAAATATGGCAGGTATCTATGTATATACCGAAAACACATATTTTCTCCTACAAATATGGAATGTTCTAAAAGAATATATATCATCAAAATATGGAATATGAAAATCTACTAATTATACTTAAATTAAACCAGTGGTTATTTATAAAATATAGTCTTGGGATTACTTTTATTTTTTGAACAAATTATATAGTTTGGTTTTTGGGCTTAGTATTAAAAAAAAACTATAAAAACATTGAATAAACTTTTCACCTTAAAAAATCAAAAAATCAATTATTATTTGCAGACCCAAAAGGTATTAAATATTTTTAACAAAACAAAATTATCTAGTATTAATCATTTATTAAATCATGTACTTTAAAACATGTTAATATATTTTTTTATTTAAATAACAATCACTTTGTTTTGATAAATTTCAATGGTAACTTTTAAATAATTTACTGTTTTATTTTTCTTATATAATTTACTGACTAAAAAATGTAAAGCAAAACCAAAACCAAATCTAAAAACTAAAATCCAAAACCAAAAGCTAAAAACACATGTTATATTTTTTTACTTTGTTTATTTACAAAATAAACTATTTCAAATTTTTTTTTAAAAATTTGTTGTCATCTTTTCAGTTTTGAATTAGATGTTCGATTATTTGAGATTTGTTTGTTGGTAATATTAGTTCAAACTAACTCAGCGTGTTTAAAAATTAAAAACCCAAACCAAAAACTGAAAATGAAAAGTAGAAACTTAAAAACTAAAAACCAAAAACCAAAATCTAAAAGTAAAAACTGAAACTAAAAACTAATGAAAAATAATCATCACCACAAATTTTGGTGAACTGATTTTATATCAAAATATTTTTAAACTAAGACAAAACCTAATTATATAAATTTTTAATCATAAAAAATTTCCGCGCTTTCAAGCGTGGATCAAAATCTAGTGTATCTTTAAGAAACGGAAGGAGTATTGATTTTACTTGAAAGTTAAAACATAAATTTAAATATAAAAATATAGCCGTAGAAGGTAGAACTTTATTGGAAAGCAAATAAAAGTAACAAATAAATAAATAAAAACTAATTAACTAATATATTTAAAATTTATTATCATATGAGAAAATATTTAAATTCTCTTCACGTCGTTATGTTTTTTAATTTGTATTAAATGTTTTAGTTACATAATTAATTTCATAATTAACAGATTGGCTACAGAGAAAGCATACAGACTCACCTACTAAATATTTTTTTTAAAAGAAAAATCTATCTGTGTACGTGGGATTCATCTCAAAATTGAATGCTTAGATAATCAAGGACGTCAGAATGACAAGTATTATTAAACTGCAACCGACAATCATGGTTAGATCATAAATCATAGTCTAGTGAATCAGATTATGTATCATCATTACCCGCATTAATTCAGACTACAATTTTATCTAACTCTCTCTATCAGAAGATCATATCAGATTAGTCGTAACCAAAAAGGTAGATCAAATTGTATAAACATAACTAATGAAAACAGTTTCTTTTTTAAATAATGAAAACAATATATATAAATTAAAATTAGTGTGAATATAAGTCAAGTTTTTCCCGTAAATAAAAAGTTCTCCACCACTTGTTCATAAACAAACAAATTTTCAATTTTTCCACCGATCATATTAAATACCTTTGGTAATCAGTAAAGAAAAGAGAACTCTTACACCAAACGAGTCCCACCGATCAAGAAATTAAAAAGAAAAAGATTAAAATAAATATAAAGAGACAGAAACCTCACCGAACTTTCATTTTACTTCATCTCTGCTTCTTCTTCTTCTGTCTCCCTCTCCTCCATTTCCACCTTCGCATCTCTCTCTCTCTCTCATCCTCTCGTTTCTTCCCAAACCCTTTTGAATAAACTCTCAAGTTCTTCAGAGTTTATACTTTTTCTTTCTCCATCAGAGAATGAGCTTGTTCTTGTAGTTAATGGATCTATCACTTCGTCGTAGTCTCCTCCGGGATCTGAAGTTTCCTTCGCCGCCGCCACCACCACCACCAGTGCCTGTTTTCCATCACGCGGGCTCGACGGGGACGAACTTTCCGATCATAATCGTCGCCGTGATTGGAATCTTTGCCACAGCTCTCTTACTTGTAAGCTACTACGTTTTCGTTATCAAATGCTGTCTGAATTGGCATCGAATCGACATTCTCAGCAGATTCTCCTTATCTCGACGGCGGCAACGCAACGACCATGGTCCTGTAATGCTTTACTCTCCGAGGATAAACCGTGGTCTCGATGAATCCGTCATTAGAGCAATCCCTGTTTTAAAATTCAAGAAGAGGAGAGATGAGGACGTTGAAAACGACCGCGTTTTTACAGAAGGAGAAGAGAATAATACTTCTCAAGAATGCTCTGTTTGTTTGAATGAGTTTCAAGAAGAGGAGAAGCTGAGGATTATCCCAAATTGTAGTCATTTGTTTCATATCGACTGCATCGATATTTGGCTTCAGAATAATGCTAATTGCCCTTTGTGTAGAACTAGGGTTTCTTGCGACACAAGTTTTCCTCCTGATCCGGTTTTTGTTCCAAGTATTCCCTCAGATAATGCTGTTTTGGGGTCAGACACTGTCGTGGTTAGAGGGGAGAATGAGTATGTAGTCATTGAGCTAGGTCTAGGGAATAGTGTTAGCACCAATAGTGACCGAGATAGTCCAAGAAACGGAAGGCTACTTGTGGCACAAGAAAGATGTAATTCAGGTCACCTAGTGACCGAAAACCCATCAAATTTAATCACTCAACCTACGAGGAAGCTTGATCGTGGAGGGTTTCAGAGAAAAGGAAAAAAGCTTCACAAAGTCACCAGTATGGGAGATGAATGTATCGACATTAGAAGAGACAAAGATGAGCAGTTTGGTAGTGTTCAACCCATCAGAAGATCGATCTCCATGGATTCGTCTGCAGATAGACAGCTGTATTTGGCAGTTCAAGAGGCGATTTTTCGGAAAAACCAGGAAAATCCGGTGGTCGGAGAAGGAGGAGAATGTAGCAGTAGTAGCGGTAATGTTAGTTGTAACAGAGTGAAGAGATCTTTCTTCTCTTTTGGAAGCAGTAGACGTTCTAGAAGTTCTTCCATATTGCCTCTTTCTTTTGAACCCTAGTGGGCTACTTTGCTTTTTTTTTTGTTTTCATTTTCTTGTTTCTTTCTACACATTTGTTTTATTTTATTGTTTGGTCGGTGAGGTAGGAGAGAAATATAGGCGTGGTTTTGGGTTTTAGAAGTCAAAGAGTAAATGAGTTGTATTGTGAAATTGTTGGACTTTTTAAGTTTGAAAGACTCAAATCTCATTTTGCCAATGAACGAATATGAACATACTTTTGGTGCGTACATTAATTTCATAACAAAGATGCTACTTCATATAATAAAAAAGAAATGATGCTACTTCACATTGCAAAGTCAATATTTTTTTCTTTACGTTGAATTTTAGCTTAGTATAGAATCTGCTTTTTTTGAACAACTATTATAATCGAGCATTTTTCTCAACCAACAATACTCATGGAATAATGCTTCTTATAAAATATTACTTGAGCTTTTTATTTTCAACTAGATGGCTCGAAAAGTTTTGTTACCCAGAAAGTGATTCCTTTAAGAAGAAACATTGTTATTCCTTTGCATTTGTAGGGTTAAAAATTGATTGGAAACAAAACTCTGAAATAATAAAATAATATATTATCGGACTAAATATTAGCAGCTATTTAGCAAATCTATAAATATGCATATGATCCAAAAAAAACTGCAAGAAAAAAAATAACAAGTAATATAGGAAAGAGAAGACCAGTGGTCGCAGGAAGTGGAAACATATAATTTCTTAGTTAAGGAACTTTCGGCTTCGGTTTCCGTAAAGTCCTTAACATATAATTATATACGCTTATACAATATATACATATACATATATGTGTATTAAGGACTTTACCTTAAGAACCTTGCAATAATGATGCCCTAAGATCATGAGAATCTAAAATGTAAACAAGATGAGAAAGTTCTTGTATGGGCGGACTTAAAAGTAGACCTACCACTGACTTTTGGTCTTGCTTTTGTCATCACATTACCATTGATTTATTTTTCAGATTTTTGGTCGGTCAATACTACAATTCAAACTATGTGTACTACTGATTTTATTAGTATTATATAGGGAAAAACACATAAAAAACCTTCAAAGTGATACTTACTAGCACTTTAAACCTTGAAGTTTTTTCACTAGCACTTTAAACCTTTAAAGTGACATTTATGTCATAAAAAACCTTGAACTTGAAAATCTGACCTGTTGAACAGGTAAAACAAGTCATTTATCAAATTTTTTCGAAAAAATAAATATTTAATAAATAAAAATATAATAAAAAATAAAAAATGAAGAAAAATCAATTAAATTTTCAAAAAAATAAAGAAAATTTCAGAACACAAAGAAAAATTTATAAAAAAATAATTTCAAATACCAAAAATTGGATAAAATTCTAAAAATTAAACAAAAATAAAACAATTCACGAAATTCAACAAAAAAAATAAATAAAAATCAAAAACTAAATTACATTTTTTAAAAAATTAAAGAAAATTTCAGAACATAAAGAAACAGTTAAAAAATTGAAAAATGTTTGAAACCATCATCGTCAATAGTGATATATTGAAAGTTTTATTCTCAACTATAATATTTCAGATTTTTGAAAAACAAATCTTTTAATTTTTATAAAATTTTCCAATAAAATTGACATATCATCGTTGACAAAAATAATTTCAAACATAACACTGTTGAAGTTGATGGTTTCAAATAGTTAAAAACATAATCTTGTAATTTTCAAAAAACTATTTAGAACTTTTGAGTTTTCAATTTTGTGAATCTTCTTTAATTTTTGTTTAATTTTATGGATTTTATTTATTTTTTTGTATCACAATATATTTATTTTTAAAAATTTTCTTTATGTTTTGAAATTTTCTTTAACTTTTTTTTGAAAATTCAATTAATTTTTATTTATTTATTTTATTATTTATTAAATATTTATTTCTCTGAAAAAACTAATAAATAAAATAGGTAATTTATCAGGTTTTTTCCAACCAATAAATATTTAATAAATAATCGAAAAAAATAAATAAAAATCAAATGAATTTTTAAAAAAGTTCAATTTTGTGAATTTTCTTTAATTCTTTGTTTAATTTTCAGAATTTTATTTAATTTTCGATATTTGAAATTATTCTTTTTATAAGTTTTTATTTATGTTCTGAAATTTTTTTATTTTTTTTTGAAAATTTAATTGATTTTAATTGATTTTTCTGATTTTTATTAAATTATTATTTTTTAAATATTTTTATTTTTTTGAAAAAATTGATAAATGACTTGTTTTACCTGTTCAATAGGTCAGATTTTCAAGTTCAAGGTTTTTTGTGCCACAAATGTCACTGTGAAGGTTTAAAGTGCTAGTAAAAAAACTTCAAGGTTTAAAGTGTTAGTAAGTGTCACTTTGAAGGTTTTTTATGCGATTTTCCCGTATTATATATATATATATATATTTTTTTTTTTTAATTTAGTTTCAGTTCTGTTTGGTTTGTTTGGGTATAAGAAAATCGTGATCGAAATAAAACGAAAAGAGTTTGTTTTGGTTTGGTTTGATTGAATTTGTTTTAGTTTTGGTTTGGTTCGATTAAGTTTGGTTTTGTTTGTATTTGTGTTTATTCAGTTGAATCGAGTTGGTATTTAATTTTATTCGACCTTGGTTACAAATATATAAAGATAAAAATTACTATCATTTGATATTAATTAATATTTTCATCTTTAATTTTAAATACATCTCAATAAATATATAAAATATTTAATTTTAAATAATTATATTTAAAATTAATATAAATATTATATTTAGTTTTTTTGGTTTCGATGGTCGTTTATAAGATTCATATCTATACTATTATTTGCGAAGTGATTTTTCGCAACGTAGCTCTCACGTTAAAAATTAAACTGGTTAATATCGTTTATACCCTTAATGAATAATTAAAATTTTCAATATATAATTAAACATAAGTAAAAATGAATTTCAGTGATTTTAGATTTATCTTTATCTAAAAATATTTTATATTGGGTTATAAAGTCTTTATTAACCTTGAAAAATAATTATATTTGTTAATATATAATTAATTATAAATTATAAATTATAAATGAATTTCACTTATTTGATAATTATCCTTATTTTAAAAAAGTATATTATTTTATAAAGTCTTTATCAACCTTGAAAAGTAATTATATTTGTTATATAATTAATTCTAAATTAAAAACGAATTTCGTGAATTTGATAATTATTCTTATCTAAATGTTTTATATTATGTTATAAAGTCTTTATTAACCTTGAAAAATAATTATATTTGTTAATATATATATATATATATATATATATATATATATATATTTAATTATGAAAAAATTAATTCGCAAAGAATTTATGTATAGATCATTTATTATTGTGTTATCCAAAACATTACTAAAGATAATTTTATTATACTTCTTTTTGCTATGTCTAAAAACGATATTAATTTATTACTAAATATTTTAAATTTGTGAGTATTTTCACATTTAATTTGTCTAATGAAAATTATTTCTATGATAATGAAAAATTTTATATATAGAAAAAATTTGTTTAGATTATTATGAAATATTTTAATGTATGAACGATAATTTATTATAATTTACTTAAATTGATTATATATTTGTAGATATTAGCAAAATTATTAAGCTCGCAAGTGCGGGCAAAACACCTAGTTATTTATTATATTACTAGTTGTGTCTCTTCTATTTATTTAGAAGTAGAATGTATAAAATTATGTTTAGTGAATCTTATTAAATAAACATTTCGTTTTTTTTTTTTTAACCCAATATAAGGTTAATATGAAATGTTTAGAACTAAGGTATTTCAGCAAAGTTTTTTTTTATAAACATTTCATATTAACCTGCCCATGACCAAAGTAAATATCATACTCTCATTAAACTTATGCTGAAATACCTTAGTTCCTTGTCTGAATCCTATGAACACAATTGCTACTGAAACATTGGTTGATCAAGCATGTCTTGTTTCTCTGGTTCAATTAGGTCTGGTTCATGCTGAATGTCCTCGTCAGTCCCTCGCATGATATGTTTGATATCTCAGAAACTCTCAACTCTCTAAGTTTAGAAGCAACCATGGTGCTGGTGGTTAACTCCAACATTTCTGCTAACAGGTCATTATTATCAATAGACAGCATATAAACAGTCTTTCTGTACCACCTTGAGCTTGACTAATTAATGACGAAGACTTGTAGCTCTGCACCATCAGGCATCATTCTCACCTTTCTCAGAAGGAAACCTCAAATTCTGCAATCCTCATCAATACTAGTAACTAACCTAAGTCATCATTGATCTTCAATTCCTCAAGCGTAGATTTGATCCACCGGTTAGGATGTTGATATTTATAGGCTTCTTAATTTTTCTGATAGATTTTTTTCTTTTGCAATTAAAAATGACTACAGTTATCATTCACCTTTTACTTTCTTGCTCATGTTGAGTAAGAAAATCACAGTTAATAACATCTGAGCTAAGACAAGGTCATTATCTGAACTCTGAAGCAGGTTAAATTCACAGTATATGATTGAAACGAAGGCCATTTCTGGTTTAAGTCACATCTTTATATAAAAGGACTTGCATCAGTTAATCCTTAATGATGATTAGGCTTCATCTTCTACGGTGTGTGGAAGCAGCAAAGGTGAATAAGTCTCAGAAGCAGTCACAGGTTTGGATTCATCCTCTCTTGCTTTGCCCCAAACAACCGTGTAGAATCCCAAACTCAAAACCACTGATCCGATGACACTGCACATAACAAATATATATTACGAATTTTACATAACCATTTATACATATGGGGGATAAAGTGTGACTTTTGATATATAACTCTCTTAGATGTAATGTTTGTTTCTAAATGTAGATCAAATCTCTGAACGGTGCTATGAAGAGAAGAAGGTGAAAGATAATGGTACCTTCCAAGGTGAAGTGCATCACCGAGGAATATAGCAGACATTCCAACCGCAATGACAATAGACAACGGCTTGAACAATGATATGTAGACTGGACCCTTCAAATGCAGACCCCACGTGTGTATAACTGTGCCCAATGATGAAACCAAAGCACCCTAAAAAACAGAACTGTTTCAATAAAGTCACTAGTTGAAGCAACGATACAGAAGATTTGAAATCTCACCGTGTACACAATTGAAACGAGGGAGACATCAGGTTTAAGCAGAAAGGAAGTCAAGTCCTTCTCAGCAAACATGCATACAGGTGCTGAGATAAATGTTCCACATAAGCTGTACAAGA